CGATCCAAAACTTGTCTTGGGATGGGAAATGCGACTCCATGAATTCAAGGACGTAATCGTGCCACTCTTGACCTCGATCGTCCATAACGAGGTGAGCCAAACCTTCGCCTTTGCAAGTGCTCTTTGCATTCATGTATTGTCCTTTCCCCATCGCTCTCAGAAAATGAATTTTCCCCGTGACCATCGCAAATTCGAATTCTTGTGGAGCAATTGTTTCTGCAGGGAAGAAATGAAACATCTTGGATATAGAAGCTCCTAGCTTGTTGATACTATATCTCTGACATTCTTGTTGCGTAAACTATTGTATAGCTCTTGAAATCTTAAAAAATTAGTCATTTCTGTCCACAGCATCGACGCGAACACTCGCTTCAACAACGATTGCTTATCCTCATCTCCAAGTTCTTCACTTATTCTTTTTATTTCTTTTGTGAACTTTTTTGTTGAGGAGTCAGCATTATTGCTTCATCATTTCATTAATCCATAATTTATATCCCTAAATTTTCTCGAAACTTTTCTGGGAAAACGCCATTGTTAAGCGGGGCTTCCCTGAAGATATTATTCAGTAATGTCAGCATTACAAGTTTAAGAACGTATCAAGTCCATCATACCTTCCTGGAATTCACTTAAGAGAATCCAAAGAATGGCGTTTTGTAGCTTATTTTTTGCTCTCCAAGATGGACCATATTGAAAAATCTAAATCTGATTTTTTTCAAGCCACTCAGCATCAAGGGACAGTTTCTGTAATGGTCTGGGCCAGGATTAACGCACTGCGCTCGTTTTCGAGCCTGAGAAGATGAAGGTCAACGCTGGTATTTACCGGAAAAGCATCATGGAAGACTGCCTGGTTCAGTGAGCCACAAAATACTTCGATGGAGGACTCCAGCATGACTCAGGGCCAGCTCACAAGGCACGGATGACCCAGGAGTGACTGTGGACGAATGTCCCCGACTTCTTTTCGATTTCACAATAGCCCCCTTACTACCCCAATGTGAACACACTAAATTTTCCAATTTGGTCCATCTTGGAGAGCAAAGTGTGTGCTACAAACACTGTTCTTTGGATTTTCTCAAGCTATCCCTGAACCAAGAATCGGAGAGAATTCCACAGGTAGTCTGGCGAAAATCAGTCAATGCTTTCATGGGTGGTCTGAACCTTGTCATCCGTGCTAAGGGCGGCTATATTTAAAACTATTAAGTGATTCGAAATCAGTTAACTGTCCTTGTTATTGTGAATTTTAAAAAATTCCTGATTTTTTAATTTTTGCTGAGGTTATTGGCATATTGCAGTGGGACACAACTTTCTTAAAACCCTGTAGAATGACGCTCTCGTTCACACTAGTGTCGACTTCAGCATCAACTTGAATAAAGGTCGGACCTCGTTGGGACAGTTTTTTGGGGGAAGTAGTTCCTAAAATTTAGGAATGCTGTCATTTTCCTTCAATTCGACGAAATTGAATGATAAACCTACGTTAGGGATTGGAACAATTTTCGAATTAGCAAGTAATGATTACTAGCTTCATTTCCTCTACGCTAATTTTTGTACATTTTTGCTATGTTCATTCAGAGAGGTGCAACATTACATGCCTTTGTCAGTCTCTATGAGTAAGAGTAACAATCGCGGTACCCACCAATGCCACTAGTGCATATTCAATCAAATGTTTTTTTTTCACCTTTCACGCGAATTCCAATGCACCTTACCTGAATAAGCGATTCTGTATTTTCTTTCGGGATCTTCAACAATGGTAGAATTTTCCGAAAGGAGCTGGCACATGAAGCCATCTTCGACCTTCTTCAGGGCATACGTGATGCACCATTTTTCCCTAGGAAAAACAACAAAGCATACGAGTATATATTATACTATTTTCTTTCGGTAGTAACTTGATAGCACATAATCAATGACGTTACATTGTGCAGAAGTGTTCACATCGGCACGGTTTCTTCTCATGGAATTCCTTGACTGGATTTTTTCCCATGTAATTTCCAGCCAAGGGCACAAACTTCCCCATGACGGCTTCTTGCACGAAGAGGAATAGGATGACAGAAGTGCTCATTTTCTCGATCGAGAACGTTTCGAATATCCAGATATTTAGGATAGACGCACCTGAGAATGGTGGTTTTTTCTCCGAAATCCGCCGTATACCTCTCTTAGGCACACATTGCGCATACGACTATACTTCAGTTGTCGATCTGTTGTCGATATGAGTTTCCATGGTTGCAGCTTATTCTTATTTAATAAATTCTCGAAGGTGTTTTCATTGCCGAAAAAAAAATCTTTCCCCGTCTATCATTACTTTCCATGAAGGGCATGGAATAAGGAATGCTTTCCCTTTGTTTCGATCGACTGGTGATTCTATTTAAAACGTGAGCCTGCATCCACATGCATCTGAGCGGAATGTGAACCTGGCACCAGCTACCTGACTACCGCAGACAGTAGGAAATAGAGGTTGAACCTGGTTGATGGGTGGCAGTTGGGTACAATGTGGAAATAAACTCCAATCGAGATATAAAGGTTCCTCTCTGTACGTCAATTCCTTGCAAAACAGGCTGAAATATGGTCTCATTCGGTGAGGACTTTTCTACTTGGCATTTCCTTAGAATAAAGAAAAACCACATCGATTGTATAATCGTTAATGAAATATCTGATTTTTCCACCACCTTATGTCCTCTGAATAGGTAACCTTGGATATTCTCTCACGGATTTCAGCAACCGTGCTTCCCTAGCAGCTGATACTTGAATCCATGTCTGCATCCTTTAGTTTTAAAGAATGCAGTTAACCCTTTTGCTGTTTAAAAAAAAAAGCCCTCACTTTGTTAAAAGAATTTAAACCCAGGATTTCCAGTAAAAGTCAAGAAATGAGTTGCATGAGGATTCTTGCTAAACTCAAGTACACGAACAGTTTCTCGCCCTTTTGGCCTGCCTCTATTCCTGTTTGCATCTGTCACGGGCACGGGGCGCTGCGGCAGGTTGTTAAGTACAGAGAGGAACCTTTATATCTCGATTGGAGTTTATTTCCACATTGTACCCAACTGCCACCCATCAACCAGGTTCAACCTCTATTTCCTACTGTCTGCGGTAGTCAGGTAGCTGGTGCCAGGNTCACCTCTGGAAAGGCGGGGATGGTGATCCCGATCCGGCATCCCTGAGATAATGTCCCGTCATACGTTTTCCCCTTGTCTCCTCAGCTTATCACCCTGACTTCCGTCCGTCTCCTGAATCACCATGCCTCCTTTTCCTTTCTCTGGACGACATGTCTGGAAGGGCGGTGGCCCGTTGCGCCGTGACACGACTGGAAGGGCGTCGGCCCGTTACACATCTCCACTCTCATCATCGTAATTTTCACCTTCTCAAGTTTCAGCTTAAACGTCCATTTCTACATCAACTTCATTTTCACTACTAACAGTAAATGCCACAATTAGCATTTAAAATTATATTAATTTCATCATCATCTAGCGCAAAACTAAGTGCGTAGGAAGCCATTTTTTTTTACAGAATGGGACGATAAAGATACGCACTTTATTTTTTGTTATTCAATGCTTCCGAAAGTCATATGTGTCGACAATAAGAAGCCCCATTGTATGGAAAATTATGGGTTTTTTAAAATACCGAATGTATGTCAGTTACAGTCATGAATAGAAGAGAAACAACATAAAAGGACTGAGTTTCAGAGCCCGAGTACGTACTCGGGCTAACAGCGAAAGGGTTAAATGTGTGCGCTTTGCAACATTCTTCCATCTGAGCAATTCAAGTGTATTCTTCCCTCTCGTGGCCTTTTCATTTTTTCCTCTGCAGAAGGAAGAAAGTAGCATAAATCACAACGGACCTAGAGTTTTCTGCATGAACGCACACAGGAGAAGTCGGGAAACCTGCAAATCCATTTATCATGTGGAATTTCAATTCTTCCATTGGTCCACCACCAAGGCCGACAACGAAGTCGATACAGTCTGAATATTTATGATCCTGCTCCACTTCCAACAATGGTGATAACTCATTTATGTCCTTCCCCTTGGACAATTAATCATTGCTACTAAGACGGCCTGCTCTCATGCGGACGAGCCAACGCCTCGTTCGGGCCTTTTTCTTAGTGCTACGCCTCATGAACTCCGCCGCAGCAATTCCAGTTATGCTATATTAAACGTATATTAAATATTGACTTCAGTTTCATTTCCACATTGCTGCGACATACAGACAGTATTTTGCACAACGTTGCGAAGAAATTGATACACGGGTAAGGATCTAAGCTAAACGTTGACACGATGTTGCAATGCCGCCTGGTTTAAGCGGCTCTGACATGATTTAGGATTTCAAGAATATCACGAACAGATTGACAGCGGAAAATAGCAATAGTGACAAGGATCAGGAGGGGGGTATAATCATTGTTAAATTTTATTGCATTCGAATATGACCTGACAAAGAGTATAGGAAGAACACTACCTGCATATAGATATGAACGTGGGGTGGGACGACGTCCAGCACTCACTCCCAACTCTCTCATGGGTTCAATAAATGTCTCGGGTCTGAGCTAGAGTTCGCAACTGTACTCAATATCCAACTTACTCTCTTCTCTCGATCCGAGGACTCTTCCCGACTCCTCTCGCGCGGTCTTTTAAAATCTCTTACTCCTGGAGATGCGTGGCTGTAGATCTGTTCTACCTCACTACCAAGGTGATTGCCAGCCACATACAGCTAGAATTATGACAACTTCTTCAAGCTGAAGAGCAACAACGAAGTACCTTCATTTTTCTGTATGAGTTGTGAGCAGTTGAATCTACAGGTAATGTCCAATATGGCTTTTCTTCTCTCATGGGAAACAGTATCCACACGCTGCACAAGTTCATTAAAACGCAACATTTTCATTGCTGACGTAACTCGTTCCATCCATTAAGGATATCTTTTTAACTTCTTCAGCACCTAGATATCCATCGTCACATTCGGGCAACAATGGTGGGGTGTTTTATAGAGTTACACTCAAACGCACATGGGCTCGAGTGTAAGCATGGCAACTGGTCTGAACAAAAAAAACTCCCACTTCTCTTATTCCATTCGCCTGCAACATCTCTGCCAGTAAGAGATAATTTATTGCTTTAGTTGCCTCAGCCTAAAGCTTGTTGCCTACAAGGCTATGACTTTTTTCGGCCACAGGCTAGGTAAAAGGACTCGCGGAAGGACTCAAAAACGAAGATCTCCCTGTGCAGTACGCTAAGTGTTAATAATTTTCTTTGGTAAAAAGATGAATGTAGCACACCTGTTAGCACCTGGCACCTGTAGCACCTGGGCGCACCAGAGAATGGTGGTTTTTTTTCCGAAATGGCCGTACACCTCTCTTAAGCACACACTGCGCATACGACTATATTTTAGTCGTCGATCTGTTGTCGATATGGGTTTCTATGGTTGCAGCTTCTTCTTATTTAATAACTTCTCCAAAGTGTATTCATTCCGGAAAGAAAAATTGTTCCCCCTCCATTATTACTTTTCATGAAGGGAATGGAATAAGGAATGCTTTCCCATACTTTGGAAGGACTTGTGATTCCATTTAAAACGTGAGCCTGCATCCACATGCATCAGAGCGGAGAGTGGATGGCAGGGAGGAAGGAAATGGAGTTCGAACCTGGTTGATGGGTGGCAGATGGGTACCTGGTGGAAATTCCCCCAGGGGGGGATTCCCAAGAGGATGTTCTATTAGGGACGCTTCCTATATTCCTCAAAAAGAGGAAAAGTCAAATAGTCATGCAGCAAGGTAACATGATTTGGATACACCCTTGTACCAAATCATACAATCGATTTACGCGATGGCATACTTTCAAAGTAGACAGTTTGAACAGAAGATTATGATGATGCTATGAATCAGCACACTTTAATACATAGCTGAAGACACGTAAACGCCGAGATGTTGAGAATCTTTACATTTTTCCTGAACTCATCGTCACGGTCCATGCCAAGTTTCAGCTTTCCATGTCTCTCCGTTTTCCTAAAGCAAAAAAATTGTTGCGGAGAGGGAATGAGTAATGGGACTTGGAAGGCATGAGAGGCGGAAAGAAAGCCAAGGAACGGCTGGGAATTGAACTCGGGCCTCCTGATTGCCGGTCAGCTGTGCTACCACTACACCACCGAACCTGGGACATCCAGGCGACCCTCTCGATGTCATCCTCATCCTTCATAATATATTTTTAAAAACTTCTCCCCCCAAAATGTGCACCCCCAGGGCATGTACCTCCAAAATAGGATTTTTTCTAAGCTCTGCATCCCAAAAGGTACTTCTGTATCAAGATCTCTAAACTTTCCAGAACATGGTTAGCATTAGCGTCAGTTACTCAGTCACGATAGTCTATATATATTAGATGAAATATCTGATTTATTCACTACCTTACGTACTCTGAATAAGCATTCTTGGATGTTCTCTCACGGTCATCAGCAATAATGGAGTTCTTCCCAAGCAGCCGACACCCGAACCCATGTGTGCATCCTTTACGCCTTAAAGAATGCAGTTTAAGCTGTGCACTTGTTATTCTTCTCTCTGAGCGAATCAAGCGATATTTTTACACGTACTTTAAGTTCATAGCATTTTCCTGGATGGAGTACTGTACATTCTGTAGGATAGTGCACATATAAAAAGTTTGTTCCTTGTGATAGTGCTGTCCCGCATTTCTTTAGAAAAGTATTAGCCAAAGAATTTCCACCCCTCCCACTCATGGCCTTTTCAGTTTCCACGGTAGAAGGAAGAAAGTAGCATAAATCACAACGGACCTGTCATGCTCCACTTGGGTACACATGGCGAGAAGCCGGGAAAACGGCAAATCCATTCATCACGTTGAATGTCAATACTTCTTTTGGTCGACCACTAAGGCCGACGAAGAAGTCGATACAGTCTGAATATTTACGATCCTGTTCCGTTTCCAACAATGATGATTTGTCATTAAAGTTCTTCCCCTTGGAGAATTGAACATAATTACGAAGACTTCCTGCTCCCATCCGGACGAGCCGATGGCTTTTCGGCATTTTTCTTCGTGT